AGGCAGGCGGCAAGGCCATGACGTCCCCATGTCCATGCTCTCCCTACACCTGCTGGGGGACAGGGGACAGCAGTCCCAGGCCACGTCCTCATTCAGTGCACAAACGGCTGGACACGGTCTGCTGGAAGCCAGTGCCCAAGAAGGTGCGTGTGATCAGGAGGACAGGGGCTGGAGGTCAGGGGCTGGAGGTCAGGCATCCAGTAGGTGGCCAAGCGGGGCAGAGCCAGGGTCTGTGTCCTGCCTCTGGGCACCTGCCCCTGGGAGACACTGCCAGGCCCAGCACCCGCCCCCAGGGGACAGCCTGACAGAGGCTGATGGCGTCTTGCAGGGGCTGCGTGGGGCCTCTGTTTGCGCCCAGGGAGGAAGGAAGAGGTCCATTATCAGGAGCGGGGCTTCCGTGCTTCCTGCTGGACCCATGGGCCCCTCCTTGAAGGTCATGATTCAAACAGGCTCATTAAGGAGGTCGGAGCCCAGGGCTCTGGTGGACAGAAGGTGGAGTAGGGAAGACCTAGGAGGCTGATTGCCAGGTCTGAGAGGCCCAGAAATGTCCCCAGCCAGGATGTTGCCAGTGGGGACAGAAGCTGGACGTGGGAAGCAGTGGGGAGAGTCCGGAGGTACCACGCACACAGGGCTTCCCGTCAGGCTCTACCACTTCTCTGCTGTGTGATTTTGGGCAAGCTGCCGCCCCTCTCTGGGCTTCAGTTTCTTCGTCTGTATCTGGGGAATGGTGACTTGATGAGCCCCTCCTTCTCGCGTGGTTGTGGAGATGAGCCCTAGAAGCTGCGCAGATGGACCCTGGGAAGGGAGGGCCAGTGGCAGTGGCTGACAGGGGACAGAGGCAGCCTCGGGTCTGCAATTCAGATTGAAGCGGTGAGTCTGGGCGAATCCTACCCGCGAGCCCGCATCCTCGCCACCGAGATCTTCCTCCAGAGCTCTGAGCTCCGTGAATCATTTTTAATAACACACCACCTCGTAATGACGGCGGGGCCTCGGGGGACCGCGACGCACTCCAGACGTGATGAACTGATCGCTGTCAGGCGAGTCCCCATCCGAGCAGGGCTGCGCCTCCCGCGGAGCCCCGCCTGCCACTGGGCGCCAGGGGCGCAACTTCACTTGGTGGGGTCCACAGGAGGGTCCCAGGTGACCACCAGCAGGAGGGGTCAGCAGCAGGGGATGGGCCTGCTGGTCCCAGGAAACCACATCCCCATAGCTGGGCAGTGGAGGGAGGGACGTGAGTCCCCTGCTCCTCCTGCAGGCCCTCCTGCAGCCTCAGGGTCACTCGGGTGACTCAGGGCAGTGCCCCCAGCTCCTCTCTTCCCACCTGGAAGCTGAGCAGAGGAGCCCTCTGTGACGGGGCAGCTGTGAGGGTCCCCGGGTGCTGAATCAGTCAGTGGCTGTCACTTGAATCCGGGGCACAGACAATCTGTGGTGCTGGGGTGGGGGGTGACATGGCACCCCAGGTTCCAGCCCTCACCTGTTCCCCTGATGATGGTCTGAGGATGCTCCGAGTCCAAAGGGCAGCAGGAGAGTGAGTGGGTGGACCTCAGGGTGGACTGGATTTGGAAAAACAAGGATCTGGACCAGGCTTTTCAAACACTGGGTAGACAGGCCTTGGGGGACCCGGTCGCCAGGATGGGAAACTGAACCTGACGTGTGCAGAACTGGTGACGAGCAGGATGACTGGACAGTCGGGGCAGGTGACCGGCAGCAGGTGGCGACAGCTAGCATGCAGGTGTGCCTTGCAGACCACAAGGCCGTGCGGGGCTGGGGACAGGTGACAAGGGCGTGTCCTGGCAGCACTCAAGGGGGCCCAAGCGGCAGAGCTGAGATCTCAGCCCTTGATCTTGGCTCGGGAGCTGACTGTGCAGGAGGCCCCCCACCCCGTGCCCACCCTCTGCAGACCTGTGGATGGTCTCCCGCCCCGGGTGCCCTGGGTGCCCCTGGTGGCCAGCACAGGCAGACCTGGAGCCCCACCCGGGGCACCCAGCAGCTCCTCCCCATCTGTGTGCCTGTCCCTTGGTCTCTTCTCTCTTCTCCCTGTGCCAAGCCTCTGCCTCCCCAGCTGCCCGGTCCAGCAGGGGACTGCAGCCTGGCGAGGAGGGGGCGGGGGCGGGCCCGTCCCTTGCGCTCCTGACACCACTTTCAGGCCGATGGCCACTTTAAACAAACCCGCTATTGAACGCGTCGCTCTCCCGCACCATCAGCGAGAGGTGTCTGAGGGCATCTCTGCGGCAGGCACTGGAGCGGCGTCCATCACGATGCAAAGGCACCTGTCGTTGGACCTAGCGATCTGACTCCTTCCAGGCGCCCAGGATGGTGAACCGCTCCGGGGTGCGCGTGTATGCAGGGCGGTCTCTACAGCGACATCTGTAAGAGCGACAAAGGAAACAGAAGACGCTTCTGAGGCTCCCCGAGGGTCCAGCGAGAGGAAATGAGCTAAATAAATAACGGTGCAGCCCACGACCGAATACCAAGCAGGTATCAAAAAGACGGAGTGCAGCCGAGGCTGGGGCGTGGGAGGGGCCCGGGGACACGTTGGTGAACAGGGAAAACAAGTTGGAGAAATGTGCACAGCGTGAGGCGAACACAGGCTGTCCATCTTGGTCCCGCACCGAGGACCACCTGGAGGAAGGAGCACCTGAGGTGGGGGCCTTGGGGAGCCCACCCTGGGTCTGAGCCTCCTGTGTCCTTCGCGAGTGACAGCGAGCCTTCCTGTGGGCTCTGGAGCAGCCCCGGGGACCTCGCCCTCCCTCCTGAGCCCCCAGCTTCCCTCTCCACAGGACCCCTCCCCCCAGCGTGCACCCCACTATTTATTTCTTTCCAGAACCACAGAGAACAAAGCGCCATGCAGCAAAGGAAAGCGCCCTCCTGCACTGACCCGCTGCTGGCCCCACCTGGACAGTCCAGATCCGGTCTCCCCCGCCCACGCTGCTTTGTGAAAATAACCTGTGACCTCATCTGGGTCACCTGCAGGTGTCTATTGTGACCCATCGCTCCCCTCTGCTCCCGGGGACCTCCTGATTCTCTTCCTGCCTCCCCAGGGCTCCTTGCTGTCCCCTTGTACCTTGTGCTGTCCCTGGACTCCGTTCTGGGTCTTCTTTTCATCCTCTCCCGCTCCCTTGGGGCTCCCCAAGACCCGGGGGGGGGGGCGCGCTGCAAGCTGCTCATAAGCTGATGGCTCCTGAGTTTCCATCTCTGCTAACACCGGTCACGTAGCACACGGAACACTGGCCCTCAGCCTGCAGCTGACTTCCCAAGAATCCTGCATAAGGCAACCCAGGATGACCACCTGCCAGAGGTCAGACTCTAGAAAACCAGGTGACCTCTTGTGACAATCCAGGAAGTCACAAGAGGAAGCATTCCATGCCCTAGGGCCAGGACTTGGTTAGGTACAGACAGCCGTTCTCATTTTTTTTGTCCTCTCCTCTTGGGGAAGACCAAGCAGAGAAATGCAAATAGCATGTGCAAAGACCCTGAGGTGGGTGCTTCTAGTTCCCTGCCTGGGGCCCCACAGCCCTGCGGCCTCCATCAGGACTCACCTGAAGCTCTTCCTCTCCCTACTGTAAGGTCTCCCTACCCCTCTGCCTCCCCCGAGGCTCTGCCAAATGCAAGTGTCCACCGCCGATGGCCTGACTCTAGCAAGCTCCGGAGGGGGCGGAGGATAGCCTTGGCCTTCCTCACTTGGTTGATCTGTTTATTTTCCCATCATAAGGAGACATTTCACTGAAGAGGGGGACAGTTGGAGAAGGAGCTCATGACAAGGTGCTGAACACCGTTAGCCAGTGGGGAAAACCACAGCGAGACGACGGAAGACCTATCAGGATGCCTGAAGAAAAATAAAATAAAAAAGAACAAAAGCCAATGCTGGCATGGATGTGGGGAAATGGGTGATTGTCTCCGTTGCCGGCAGGAGTGGGAAGTGACACAGCTGCTCTGGATAAGTCTGGTGGCTTCTCATGAAAGTGGACTGATGGACACCCGACCTTGTTTGAGGATGCTTCTGTTGGACTATCACTTAGTTAACATCATGGGCGGTGGCCCCCTGGTGGCCCGGGCAATCCTCATCTAGCTCTTCCGGGCGGCTCATCACAGTCTTCTCGTGAACCGTAGACTGCATCTCGGCCCCGTGTCTGTGGGCTATTTTAAACGGCAAAACCCCAACCAACAGCACAGGAATGTGGAGATGTGGCCTTCAGCAGAGGGTGACAAGGACACTGTCTGACAGTGGCAACCTGAGGCAGAGCCTAGCTGGCTGGAGCTCGGCCAAGGTCGCCTGCCCCCAGGGCCCACAGTTTGCTTTGCAGAGACCGTGAGTGCGGGTTTGGGGCCCACAAATGCCTTTTCTCAAGAAGTTACGAATGATGGTGCAGATTCGTATGTCAAACACACGGACCTAGGAGGCGACTCACACGCACCTGCAGTGCGCACAGATCCCGTTCATCAAAATACGTGCACACACATCTCCATGGACCTGGGTATGGGTGTATGTGTGTGGAGACAGACAGACAGACAGACAGAGGGGGGCAGCGGGCCCAGGGGGCGTCACCGTAGGAGGAAATCCTACACTTCACCCACATGTCTGCGGGGTGTCGGGGAAGAGCTGCGTTCCCGGGGACCAGCCGCGCGGGCGCTGACTCCCAGCGGAGTCCTCGAGCCGAGGCGCGCCCCTGAGAGCACATTCGAGGTCTGCTTGGAGCCGGGTCCCAGGCAGCCTGGGGGCCAGCGTGGCACCGTGGGAAGACAAGGGAAGAAGACGAGCGCGGAGCTCGAGGGGCACCGGCCTGCGGCTCCTGGCTCCGGGGCTTGGGAAGCGGAGCAGCCCAGGGGCCAGGGGCGGGTCAGCAGGAGCCTCCTGGCTCTTCCCAGAGCCACCAGGAGGCTGAGACTCCAGAGGCACCTCTGGTCTCCCTGTCCACAGCGTGTCCGTGGGGGTCCCCTGCAGGTGGGGGGCTACCACCGTGGCCGGGCACAGTCCACCCAAAGGGCATCTTTGGAACAATGTTTTAAGTTTTGTGTGGATGACCTCAGAGGCAGCAGTGCCCACAGCAGGCAGGTGAGGTGGGCAGAGTCTTTTCAAAGCCTAAAGTCCCCACCAACCAGGCAGGGCCCTACCGTTTGTTCCACGTCCAGGCTCACCCACCCCATTGGGAACCCGCTAGGTGTGAACTAGGCAGAAATAGTTCTTGGCAAAGGGAACAGCATGTGCAAAGGCCCTGGGGTGGGGGCACCAAGATCAATTCCAGGCTCTCCCAAGAGGCCGGCAGGACTGGGGCAGAGAGCTGTGGCGCGTGGTGGCAGTTGAGGCTGCAGAGAGGAGGGGTCAGGCCAGGCTGGTGCTGCGTCTTCCTCCTAGCAGCGGTGGGAAGTCCCCTCCCCCGGCTCACAAGGACACAAGGACGGGTAGAGCTGGGAAGGAGGCAGGCGCTTCCCGAGGCTCCGTCTTCCCTTTTCTCCATCTGCACAGAGCATATGGCTGCACCTCCGTCCAGCTTTGGGAGTCTGGGCCCATCGCTCAGGGCT